TTTATCTTTCTCATTTACAACCATCAATGCTAATAAATACTCCATTTATTTTTTAACGCAAGAGACTTTTCGTCAACTCGTTTGGTTTTTTAAAATAATTAATTTTAATAATCATGTATGAAATTAAATTTTTTAACCTAAAATGTCCTTGTATGATAATCTTTACTTTTTTCTATGGTAATTTAGGAAAAAATACAATTAATACTTTTTGAAATTTATAATTTTGTTTAAAATAAAAAGATAATGAAACATAAAGTAGTTTTTCTTACATTTAAAAATGAATGAATGTTTAAGATCATGAGAATTTAAGTATTTCATTAACATTTAACTGCACACCAGACCGTGACTCTTTTTTCTTTTTCTTTTTAAATTACAAGGAGAATCAGAACAACAAAGCTCAAAACTAAGCCTGATTAGATGATTTTTTTCATCATCCAGCACCTCTACACAAAAAAGAGGTGGTTGATCAAAAGTGTTACTAACACCTATCCTATCACAAGCATGTTGAGCCAAAAAATGAGCACAATGATTGACTTCAACAAAATAACCCAGTCCCCACAAAGAAGCATTTGAGCCTGTGAAATAATATCAAAAAACGAATGTTGATCATTATGGCAACAAAGGATCAGATTTAGAGCATCTGCACAGCTAACACAAAAACTGATATTTCATATTCCTTTCTCCCAGCACAATAGAAGACCATAAACAATAGCCAGTAATTCAATCACAACAATTTGATAATGACCGAGACAAATATTAACCGTGACTCTTTTATATGCCTATCACCCTATCATCATTAAATTTTAATCATATTCATTTTCTTGGGCCAAAACTATTTATATGCATTTAATAGAATTCAAAGTTGTCATATTCCATTTCAATTTTTTAATTTGTTGGGGGCACCAAAGATATATAGTATAATAAGTTCTATATTGTAAAATTTTTTAATATAATAAGTTCTATATGTAAAGATATATATAGTTTATAAGTATGAAAGGCTCTTCTAAGCAATGACCATTTTTTTTTATGAACACTCCCTTTAAACTTATAAAGTACATACTACTTCAATAGTATCACTGTTCATGTCTCCCTAAAATTAAAAATATAAATTGTTATTTTTTTTCATAACACATAAAAAGAGTAATGAAGGAAAGGCAATCAAATATTATATCATGGTCATGTCTCAATGAGTTGGCTTTCTTCTATCATGCAGTAGAGAAAACCCTGCAAATTTGTACTGCTAGTTAGATTTAATGATTTAAATTGGATAATTTTTAGAAGTACAAATTAATTTGTATTGTTAAAATTTAAAACAATTTGATTTACAGTAAAGAATGCAGTAAAGAGAAATGAAGTTGGTGTCCAGACCCGCTTGGTTTGGGCAATCCATGTAAGTATGTAACTGTCAGGTTCTCCCTTGACCTCACTCACTCACGATCGTTTGTATGATAAGGTTGGTTGTCTTTTGGAGAAGAATAGATCAGAAAAGGGAAGAGGGGGATGAAAGGGCAAAAAGTGTGAGTGCAAATGAAAACACCTTGTTTTTTATTGCCGCAATATGGGAAGAGAGGAACGAGAGAAATAGTAATTAACAAGGGAAGCTGCAGAGACAAGGGTTCCTCCTAGAGGAGAGAAGGGGAGGGGGAAACTTGCTTGCAGGCACCTTGACCCCCGGGGTGGGCCCCAGCACACCTGTATGCGCAGTCGTCTTTGCTGATGCATGCTCCCATTTCTTGCCTGCATATCCTCCACACTCCCTCTTCCTCGTCCCTTGCTTCTGCCATTCCAACCACTGCATCACCACCAACATTCACCCGCTTCATTCGTTTTTTCACTTTCGTTGCCCACGTACTTTACATCTCTTTATACGCACACACACTCCTCTAGTCTGTTAATAACACATCCTTCAACATTTTTTTTTCTGCATTTGGGGAAGGGGGATTCAAATGCATTAACCCTCTTTGCAGCATAATAAAGTTTTTACGTTTACCCATATTAAATGTGTCGTGAAAAACCAATGAGACATCTTAGAAAACATGTCAAACAAATACCCCATCTGTTTATTGTTATAAGACATTTTTTAAAAATATTATGTTAGAAAATATATAGCACTTTAAATACAATATACCCTCAATTAGGAGGTGATAATTAATAAATTTAATTCTAACACTTGTTAAATAAAAGTAGATATGAAAAGAATGTGTGATTTTGAATGTTATTAACTAACTTATTAAAAATATAGATTAATTACCAATGCTTTATAATTTTGAATGGAAAGAGTATATTAATAAACAATCTATTCTATGCTTTATAAAAACTATCAAAAATTCTCCCTTAAGTAGTTTGTATATACTCTCCTAATTTTAATGAATTTATTCATAAGTCATTTTTAGTATCTTCATCAGAATTAAGAAAAATCTTAAATTTTTTTAATGCAGTCTAAATAGTCAATAAATTTTTAATTTTATTTATATTAAATATACATATTTTAAAAATGAAAGAACTTTAACATTTAATAACTTTTTTAATAATATTTGATAAGGATAAAAGGGAGAAAATAAACAGATGCCCTTATCCCTACCCTATCAAGAGGACTATAACGTAAATAAGATCAAAGGAAGGGTACATACCCAGTGTCAGCAGCAGCACCACAACTCCAAATGGCACCGATTGCTTCTTCATCTTTGTTCCTCCCTCTCACAATCACTGAATCGCCCCTTCGATCTCCTCGCTTCCTTTTTCTCAACCTCCAGTCTCCTATTTATAGTTGCACTATTTTGCCCTCATCGAAGGAAAAGCAATACTTCCTCCATTTTTATATGTAAAAAATCTTTTAAAATTTTTTTTATCTTTAAATATAAAAAGTTGTTGGCATTTTTTAAATAAATGGATCATTACATCCTTATTAAATCAGAAAGACAAACAAAATAAATACTCTTGTTAATTTATTTTAAAAGAAAAAGATTCATTTTTTATTTATAATAATTAGAGACAAAATTAAAATATTGTTATACTTTTAATTAGATAATAAATTTTTATTGACTTTCGTAATTTGATTAAAAAAATCTTATATATAAGGATGGAGAAAGTATTTACATTTAAGAGCAATAAATGCTAATAAATACTCTATATGGTAAGATCCATGAAACTGTTCCACTCATTAATTCATTAACCATGTGCTACTTCTTCCACTTAATCCTTGAGCGAAGCAATTGATTGCTTTTAAAACTATGAACTTTTGATATGTTTGTTCGTATTTAATAAGGAATTTCAATTAAAAAAATTATTGATTATACCCCTATTCGAGGGTATTTTTGATAAATTTTATTAATTCTACCTTAAAAAACTTGAAATATTTGATACTTTTGAACATTTTATTTTTAAAAAGTCTTATATATTTTTAAACGGATATTATCAGTTATGCAGCTCTTTATTATCCATTAAATTATTAGTTCACCTTTCATTCACTGATTTGCGTTTCAACGATGCGTGTCCAATTCTATAGGCCCCGCTTAATTTGCAAAGCCAACCTTCACGAGAAGAAAAATCTTTAAACGCAAACATGTGTGTGTTTTGGAGGTTGCAAATATGATCATACTCATTAAATATATATAAATTACATGAATACGAATACGAATACAAATGATCGAGTTTTAAAAAAATAGAAAAAAGGATTTGTTCTTGTCCTAATTTTCAAATACCAGTATTGATTTTTTGGGCTATAAAATGACCGCTTGGATCCTAAACATTATTCAAATCCCACTCCCTCACCATTTGACTTAATTCCAAGTGGCTGGAGTTCTATTCATTTTAAAACGATCATATTTCATTTAATGAATTAAACTTACAATTTAAAAATATGATAAAAATACTCTTATACATTTTTGGCTCAAATAAAATGTTTACTATCAAGTAGAAATAACCATAAAGATTTTGTAATTTAGATTCATAAGTGACAACAATTGATTTTGTTCAATACTGAACTTGCAGAAATTTTTTTATAGTTTAAAAAATTTTTAGTTCTCCATTTTAATTATTTAAGCCATGGATTCGCTGAGGGGGGGGGGGGAAGAGAGAGAGAGTGAGATCAGCTAAAATTAGCTTGAGTGGCACTATCATTTAAATAAGTGGTTCTCCCAATTTAGTTTGTAGATTTATTCTCATCATTCTCAGTACCCCAGGCAAGATATTCTTCACTGTCAAGGAAACCTGCCGTTTATTCTTTTTTTTTTTTAAAAAAAAGAGGGAGCCAGGGACAGAGGCACAGAGCCCTATTTTGAGTAAAAAGAGGCCGGATGCCGCATGTAATTCGACGAAAGCCCAAGATCAACCTTTGAATGGGCCCACTAAATCTTTAGCTTCTGCCCTGTCATTCATGTCTCTCGACTCTCGAACCGAACTGACATTGACTCAAATGTATTTAGCCTATATCGAGATTCCTCAAAAAAAAAAAAAAGCATCCATGATGATCTCCCGTCTGTCTGTGGAAGGACAAGGACTCAGGAGAATGAATCTTCTATTCCATTCTCTTTTTTTTTCTTTTAGATACTTTATCAAAAAAAAAAATAATAAAAAATGATAATTTTATGTTTGATCTTATTTCATTAATAAGTGTTCATTTTTTTTAAATTAAATAAATTATTTTTATTCAGGATTTATGGGAACAAAAAAGGCTCGGCTGGATTAGTACCTAGCAGGGCTGAAATTTTTTTTATTCCTTATTCTATAATCTGTAAATAGAATATAGAATATCATTCTATTATAATTTTAATAATAATAATAATATTTAATAATATTCTATTATAATAAAAATTATAATTAGAATTAATTATATTAAATGTATGAGCGAGCGATTGATTAATCAGTGATCCACTGGAGCTATAGCCCAATTATTTCGACTAAGGCCCAACATCAAGCCTTTAAATGGGCCCACTCACTTACGTGCGGCTTCTGCTCCAGCCGAGGCTTCATTAAATCAATTTCGTCATTGTTTCTTTTAATTTAACTTATCCGCCTCATGATCTCATCCCCGCCCCCCTCAGCTCCCGCACTCCGTCACCTTCCTATCTCATCTATCCTTTCTAAATTTTATACTCCTGCCTCGTGTGATCCGATTTCTGGTTTTGTTTCAAGGATCAAAACCCCCATTGTTTGCTGGCTTGTGGCTTTTCCTTGTGTTCCAGTTAGGTCCTTCTTTATTGTCATCAAGGACTTGCTGAATTTCATTTATTTCTTCTAGCCGGAGTTGGTTGGTTTTCAATTTATATAAGTTCAGCAGCTAACTCGAAATTTCTTGAAGTGATCCAATGTTCGCAAACATGCGTATGCATAAGATTTTGCAAAGGGGACTGTTCTTTAATCGCCTCCAGCTTTGGACGATGCCGAGCTTGGACGATTCTCCTCGTTTAATGACTCCGGTCTCAAGAGCTGGCATTAACAAAATCTGGAATCATACCGCTTGTGCTAGTGTTATTGGAGTCAATGGACTGGAGGCTGTCAGTTTTTGGAACAGCGGCAAGTAAGCCATTTCTTTTCCTGGTCATATCAGAAAGTTATCAATATTGTTACTTTGACTGAACGATCAATTTCGAGGTTTTGTGCCCATCTCCTTTTGTTATATTGCCAGTTGCTTGACCTATGAGACTAGATGTTTATCACTTTTAGCTAGTTATTAAATATTTCATTGCATCATTTCTTAATTCTGTTCCTCTTCTTCCCCTGCGAGGTCACATTAATGTTGCAAATTTTGTTTTATATTTATATCTATGGAAGTATTCTTATAATGTTCATTGTCCCTGCTGCAGGGGAATTCGTCATTCCTCGTCTGATAGCAATGGTCGATGTACTGCAAAGGAGTTCTCTAGTAAAGTACGTCTGGTTTATGTACAGAGTTTTCCTTTTGGTATTCCGATGTATATTAACTTGAAATTTGCAGCTAAGCAAGGAAATATCCCGAGTGACCTGGTAGATAATCATGGTATCCATTTTAAACAATCTTTCACATATAAATAATGACAGCGAGTCTTTTTCTATATTGAATTTTATATTTTGAACTTTTAATACCAAAGTAGAACAGTGTTCTGATAAATTTGTCGAAATGACTATTTCTTCTCTGCATTAACTCATTTATTATTGTTGTTGAATTTCTTACTTATCACTAATACTCCGTGGTACATGCACTGGTTCAGTTACTTAAAAGTATTCCAGACCATGTGAAGATAGTGGAGGTTGGTCCAAGGGATGGATTGCAGAATGAGAAGAATATAGTTCCTACTGCCGTGAAAGTTGAATTGATAAACCTGCTAGTTTCTTCTGGGTTGCCTGTTGTCGAGGCTACAAGTTTTGTGTCACCAAAATGGGTACCACAGGTAAGAGTGGAGTTGATTCTGAAAGACAATCAACAGTTTTGCAATTCTGCCCCTGGTATTATATTGTTTGCTATGATTTTTTTCAACATTTCACTTAGTTCTTGATCAAGTGATATAAAGATTGTTGTTTATCAATTAAGTATAAACTGGAGTTCTCTTTATTGCCATTCTCTTTTTCCCTTCTCATTTTTCATGCTTATTTGGAATGGAATTATGAAAGTGTTCTATTTGTTTGTCCATCAGTTTACCAGCCTTATTTTTTGTTTGAATCGATCTCTAACTTGATGTATGTTACTTGAAGCTATAGGACTGATTTAAATATGGAAGCCTATATGCATCAGTAACTTTATCAACTTATCCAGAAACAATAAGTAATCCATTAGGTCTGTTGCATAGCTCAATCTGTAGCTTATGCCAGATAAGAGAGAAATGTTATTGAGCAGTAGGCATACAGTGGATGTTTTTCAATGAGTGAACTTGTTATTCCTGTGCATAAATTTCTGGAGTGATGGTTACTGACTGAATTTTACATGCTTGATTGGATCTTAAAAATGCATCTCCTCTCACATTGGTAATTTCTCAAAATCTCAGTTATTTTCCCCTATGGTATGAGCTATAAACTAGCTGATCATGGACTAGGGAAATGTACTTATTTTTCAATATTTGATGTGGGATTTTGCAAAAACTTAATTCAGTGTAGAAACAAAAGCTTGGTAGGTATGAGGTTTGTTGTTGATCTATACTAGCCACTATGCTTGTTTATGCGCATGGTTGAGTAATTGCAGACTTTTCCATTAAGAATCAAAGAGGAATTATTATTAACAATATAATAGTTGACCGTGAATTTCATCGGAGTTTTTAGTTAATTTGTACAATTGTCTGACCAGGGAAAATGCATAATTTAAGTTTTGTTTTAATTGGACTCTTTTATTTTTCCAATGTAAACTACAAATTCCTCTTTCTAGTATTTGTTTTATTGCACGTGTAAAAAAATATTCAATATATATCTCATGCATCGTGTTTTGTGTGATGGATGATAAAACATTCCCTCATTTGTGTTTTAGTCTAATTCAAAATCTTTATGGCTGAATTTCAGCTGGCAGATGCAAAGGATGTAATGGCAGCAATTCAGAATGTCGAAGGTGCTAGATTTCCAGTCTTAACTCCAAATCTTAAAGTAAGAATTATTTATGGTAACAACAACAATAACAACAGCAAGTCTTATCTCATTAGGTGAGGTCAACTATATAGATTGCACGATGCTATTATGCTTTATCATCAACTAAGTAAGTCTTATCTCATTAGGTGAGGTCAACTATTATGCTATTATGCTATTATGCTATTATGTAAGTGTTTTCTTTAGTCTTCCTCTACCTCTCTTTACAGGGTGCAAAATTATCCATTCCTCTCTTCTCACTAGTACCTTCCACAGCTTTCTCTGTACATATCCAAATCATCTCGAACAATTCTCTACCAATGTCCCCTCAATATCACACCCACTTTTCCTCATATATGTTCATTTCAGATTTTTTCTTTTCGTGTATGCTTACACATTCATTTTAACGTTTTCATTTCTAATACTTTAACTTTATGCTTTTGCTCTCCCTTTAAAATTCAACATTTACTATCATATAACATAATTAGTTTTATAGCAGTTCGATAAAACTTCTCTTTAAGTTTATTAGGCACCTTTTGATCACAAATAAATCCTTTAGCCTTTCTCCAATTAAATCCCTCACCTTGTATCTTATGTGCAACATCCCCATTAATTTCCCTGTCATGTTGAATTATTTATTGCCCATGGATAAAAATATATTATATGATTGAGTTAAAATTTATGTATGGGATTAATAGTGATCATTTATTTTAGGGTTTTGAGGCAGCTGTTGCTGCTGGTGCAAAGGAAGTGGCTGTGTTTCCTGCAGCTTCAGAATCATTCTCTAAAGCAAATCTAAACTGTAGCATTGAGGATAATCTTGCTCGATGCCGTGACATTGCTTCAGCTGCTAGCAAGCTCTCAATCCCTGTTCGTGGGTATTTGACTATACTTTTTACTGGATGAGATGAAGGATAAATTATGGAAGTACATCCTGATGTTGCTTACTAATTGAAAAGAATGCTTGACTTGTATACATTGATTGCTATTTTTTGTGAGATGTAGTACTTTTTAACAGAGACTTGGAGCTTATCTAATGAGTAACAAGTAATAACCTTGGAAGATAATTTAAATTATAAATCTGACCTGCATTATCTCTTGTAATGATTGAACTGCTGCCTGTTGTGCTTGGGCATGGCTTGAAAGATAGTTTGAATTGTAGGATTGGTTTGCTGGTTGATATTTGCATTTTAGACTTCGATTTGTCTCTATCACAATCTGCTGTTTTTTCCTTCTGAATTTTGAACAAGCTTAAAACAGCAGCCTGTTTCTCATCTCTTGACTTTAGATTTCAGGTTTGTCATTAGCATTTTATATGATTTTTCGTGTAACAAAATTCCCTTTGCTTCAGATATATATCTTGTGTTGCGGGATGTCCTCTTGAAGGATTTGTTGCTCCAGCTAAAGTAGCCTACGTGGCAAAAGCACTCTATGATATGGGTTGCTCAGAGATTTCACTAGGCGATACCATTGGTGTTGGCACACCTGGTATTTGTTTAAAGCTGCCTTCCTTGTTATGCGAGTTGCTTTAATTGCAGTTTTTCTGTATCCATCTTCCAACTTACTGGATTTTGACATGGGCTATGGATTTTATCTATGTTGGCCTGACTTCTTTAGCTGATCGTATTTTGCTTGGTTGCGGTTGATCTTGAAGTCAAAAGACTATTAAGTAAATTGTCTTTACTGTTTGCATGATGAATGATGGTCCCTTTCTTTCGCCTTAATAAGGAGTTTAATGTTTTGGTGCCATGTTATCCGGAGCATATGATGAGATAGTTGAGGTTTGGGATGTGTCAACTGAAGAACAGGGCATATTACTGTCTGATATAGCCATAATGTTCTTTAAATGTTTCCTATCAGCTCATTACTTGCGTAAACATTTTCTAAAACTGCCTGATGTCAAGTTGTATTCAATGAGCTATATGATCTAATATAAGCATTTTATTTCACTTTTATGGTTATCCTGGCTGTTTTGATTTATCACGAGGCCTGCTTTGACTTGTCCTGCCTGATGTCTAAACCTCGACATCTGATATACTGTCAAGTTGTATTCAATGAGCTCTGATATAATATAAGCATTTTATCTAACTTTTATGTTTATCCTGGCTGTTTTGATTTATCATGAGGCCTGCTTTGACTTATTCTTCCTCTTCTTTCCAGGTACTGTCATTCCAATGCTTGAAGCTGTTCTTGATGCTGTCCCTGTTGACAAGCTTGCTGTTCATTTTCATGATACTTATGGGCAGGCTCTTTCAAATACTCTTGTCTCACTTCAGGTAAAATCATCATCATCATCATCATTTTGGAAAAATGATTTGGGTGCTGATTTTGATTAAACGTGTGCTATTTTTTAGCCAAAAGTAAAAAGATTAAACGTGCCCTATTTGTGTCGAAATTTAATTTTTTTATCTTGGACTTAATATTTTAACAACCACCACCTGTGGAAGGTTTTCTACATCTGCTCTTACACACGTGTCCACGTAAATACGTATAACTTAGAGATATCATATATATTTATGTATAAACTCATAGAATTCTACTGTTTGAAGAATGAAATGTGTGATTTCATATGTTTAAACAGTTTCTAATTAATTGGTAATGTGATGAATTGTTGATAGATGGGGATCAGCACGGTGGATTCGTCGGTGTCTGGTCTTGGGGGTTGCCCATATGCGAAGGGTGCAACGGGGAATGTTGCCACAGAGGATGTTGTGTACTTGTTGAATGGACTGGGAGTGAAAACCAACGTTGACCTCAGAAAGCTTATGGCGGCTGGGGAGTACATCTGCAAGCATTTAGGACGTGTTTCTGGTTCTAAAGCTGCAACTGCCTTGACTAAACTTACAGCTAATGCCTCCAAACTGTGAGTTATCCACTTCACAACTTGTATCCTTATGTTGTCACGATTCATTCATACAGACTATGTGCCATTGGCTTAGCTAGCTAACCCATAATGAAACGGGGATGACCTGCTGGGGTACGGATTATCAACAGCATCTGGTGTATACAATTTAATTTATTTAATTTAATTTTCAATAACAGCATGCTGCTATATCGAGAGGGACTAGTGCCTCAACCCTTGATACAGTTTTACGGAGTGAGCGCATCAGTAACGCGTTTTTGTCATGACTAATGCTGTTTATTTCGCGAAAGAAGAGTGCGCAGGGTGGTTCTTTGACTGGGAACATAGGATCAATAATGGCCAACCACCCCTTAAGAGAGAGGCAGATGGAGGATGGTAGGCTTTGGCCGAGCAATTAATTACTACTATAGACTATGATAGCGCTGTGGGTAGTTGTCTGATAAATCTCATGTATATCGTCCTCTTGGCTCTTGCTTTTAAATAATTCTGACGCAATAACAGCCTTTACGAAAGTAAATTTGTACCTCCGGTCACATAACAAATTAACAATTCTTTTTGTAAATTCGTTTTGTAGTATTTTATGGGTTGGGTGGAATTATAAAATATTTTTAAACATTTATAAAAGTAAATTAAAAAAAATCGAGATAATATTAATTAATTCAACAGCCTCTCTTTAATTTTAGCGAGATAATTAAAAATAATTTATTTATAAAACGAGTGCATTTCATATTATATTCGTCTTTCCTTGATTTGCTTCAAAAGAGAGCGTACGTCTTCGTCATTACTATGTTGAGAGACTAAGCTGTAAAGTAATAGTATTAGTAGCAGTAGTAATGAGTACGAATGAAGCGAGGGGAAAATGAAAGGAAACTTCAAAAAAGTGTCACACACTCACTACTGGTATAAGAGGCTTAAAATATACTCTTTCAAGTCTTATTATAGTAATATTTTTAACCATTTCATACATAATAAAAAAATTAGTTTTTTTATACCATGAAAAATGATATGTATTTTTATTTTTATCCTTAATTTTAAATAACAATATAATTATATTAAATATATTTACACTAATCAAAAAAGGAGAAATTGAGAAATTATTTAATTATTATAAGGTATTCTATATTTTAAATAAAAAATTATTTATAGAAGATGCACCAGAGGGAGTAAACATTATCTTAATAATAACTAATAAATATCTCAATAATATTTAATGAATACAAAATATTTTTTAAATCTCAACATAATAAATTTTAATAAATAAAAAGTAAACAAAAATTACAAAGTATCATCGACCACCTATAAAGGGAGTCAACGTTGGCCCCAATCAATGTCTTAAAAGACCTTTAAAAAATAAAATATACAAGTTATTTAAAGAAGGATGAGCAAAATAGTGATGCTATAAATCAAGATATGAGGATGTGAAAGCAGCACACCATTTAGAAGGAGTGACTTAAAAGAAGGAGTGACTTAAAAGGAGATGCATAAAAGTGAGCTCAAACACGTGTCCAACTTTACGCCTAATCTTGATGATTTACAGTTTAAGAATCTATCACAATATAATCATATTTATTAAAAAGTAAGTCATAACTCATGTCAATAAGTTTTTTAACAGAGATAAGGTTAAAACTAATAAAAGGGATAAAATATTTTTTGTGGATGGATAAAGAATGAAAAAAGACAGTACCAACATGACTAACCAGCATTTGAAAAGTTATTAGTAGTATGGGTGCGATGAGCATTTATATTAGGTGTCATAAAAGAAAAGAAATTTTCTTGGTCAATCATGTGATTGCAACACGCAAAGTAGAAAAAATAAAGATGTATCTAATGAAGTGGCTTATGCAACAAGTGAACTGGAAGATGTACTTCATAGAGCGGCTAATGCAACAAGTGGGTTAAAGTACAAAAATGAGTTTGTAGAGTAAAGCCTTAAGGTTAGTGGTAAAGGATCTCGAAGTAGAGGCAATAACAACAATTGCTTTATCAGTGGTAGATAATGCAGACTAAGCAACATCTAACTCCTCCATACTAGAGAAAGAGAAGCAGAGAAATGAGAAGAAAGTATACGACGGGCGACTTAGGCAAGACGTAGATTTGAGACAAAGTGGAGGGATGGGTGAAGGAGAAAAGACTAGCTACGAGGATGGCACAAAAAATATTTTTAACTTGTAGACAAGGAACCAGAGTTATGATACCATGAAAGAAGTCATAAAGAAATGGGGTTGAAAAAAGTATCATACTATATTCATATCAATAAAAATAAAAAAGAGCCATTAAAAAATTACTCAACTCCCCCTTGTTCTTTTTGAAAATTCTTGCTATTTTGGTTGTAACATCATATTGGATTGCCTCTGTGCTTATTTTAATATTCTATTATACCACTCACCTCTCATGCTTCTGGTCATAACAACATGAAACTAATTAATATAAGTTAAATTTCTTGAGAAGAAAGACTTAATGAATATACAATGAGAACCCATACAATTAAATTAGTCAGTCATATTTCAAAGTTTTACAACATGCTAGTTTATTTCACATTTTGAAATACCATTTTATTTTTTCTTTTCCCCTCATGACTTCTACCTAGATAGTAGCCTAAACCTCGGCTTCTCCGAATAAGATGGGTTCACCTATTATCTTTACTGATAATAATCATACTTTATTAGTCTAATTTTGCTTTTTTTTATTCTCCTCTGTTAAGGATGCAACTTACCTTAAAAGGTGTATAATATAATCCATATAATAAAAGAAAACAAATAATTAATGGGAGCTAGAAAGGAACAGGAAGGAGGTACATGTTGCATAATACACTTATATGAATGCACAATTATGTAAGCTCCGATACTAAAATGAAACAATCCCCACTTAATGTTTACACTTAACCTATCTACCATGATATAAAGGATTTACTTATCATGGTAGAAAAGAGACAACATAATTATCATGATAGAAAAAGAACTATCCTTAAACCTTTTGATGGATTCACTTATTATTTTTTGTCATGTTTAAAAGTAGTTGTCAAAAATAAAGTTTGTTGGTGACTTTTTTTTGTCATCAATAAAAATCATTGTCAAAAGTCATTTTTTTATAATAAAAGAATAATATGAGGCTTGAAAAAGTGTCACATAAATTGTTGATATAAAAGGCTTATAATATATAGACCTCCTAATAATAATTAATGAATATTCTAATAATGTTTAAAGAATATGAAATATTTATTAAAGATTAACACAATAAATTTTCATAGATAATATATCTCAAAACTACATATACTCCCTTTGGATCACAATATAGAGCATTGATAACAATTTATAGTTCTCAAAAAACTTGTTGAAACCTTCATTAAATATTCTATATAAATGCATTGATAGTGATAATTAAAATTTCAATTAAGGCTTCATTTTTTTTAAAAAAGTAATAAATGAAGTAGGAGCATAATTAAAAAATCAATTATAATTAAAAGTTATTTAATGCCCTATAGTTTGGACAAAGTAAAACTTTTGAAAAGTGTCCTATATTGTAATTTGGATGGAGTAAGTCCTATTGTAGGAAAAATTGATAATCTATAATTAAGCCACTTTGCATAAAAAATGTGAACTATTAATTATTTTATTATGATGTGTACTGTTAAAAAGAACAAATTAAACAAATTCTTTTCAAACAATATCAATAAATTATTATTATTTATTTTGAGAGAGGATGAGATAGTAAAAATTGCTCATTCCATTTTCAAACATAAGAGATATTATATACCCTGTGTCTCTTTATTTTTATTTATAAGTAAAATTAATAATTTCAAGAAATATTTATTACATTTTTTTTAAATTGTCTCTTGTACAATCATTGTTTATTTTTACTAGACAAATTTATTTCATTAATTATAAGAATGATTTAGTCCAAATTTTTTAATTTAAAATATAATTATTGTAGTTAACATTTTCTTAAATTATATGAATTGACTTTTTTTTTCTCTATATTTAAAAATGGAGGGATTATACTGCTACTCTTTTTAAAGGGTTGTTAAATGTACCGAGGGAAGTACCGTGCATCTACGCCTACTTGAATTAGGGCATTCAAACCTGCTGTCAATGCTCCGGGCTTGCTTTTGTTCCTTTCTTTGATCACTAATCATCTTTCCTCATGTCGGGGGAAAAAAAAATCTTCTCGCGAAAGAAAAATAATTTCAAATTTTATAAGCTTTTGTAACACGCAAATGCTGCACCTTGTCTGCAACTGACCTAAATCGCCCGGGCAATTTAATTTGAAGTCACTGTTGATTTTATTTGAATTATACCTTAAAATACTACTGTAATATCTTCAAGTGCAGTCAGTCGTGAGAATTGCTGTTCGGTTTTATGAGAGCAGTGATATTCGAAGAACATGAACTCGAATCCGAGGATATATGTTTTGGTGTTTGCGGATATTGGATTTTTTACTGTTACAAAATGACTTTACAAAAGTTCTTACATTTAACCTAACATTTTATAAAGCAATTTTGTAGGAATAACCTACAAGAACGTTTTTATAAAATGCTCTAGTAGAGATAGACATAAAGTGCTATCGTAAAAGTGATAATACAAGCATATGGGAGCGTTTAAGAAAAGAGTGCTCCCATATCTATTGAGTGCTACTGCATGTCCTTATTTACAAGAGTTGAGCACTCTTGTAGGTATTTTTTATTTAAATTTTTAAAAGGTATTTTTTTATTTAAATTTTTTAAAAACTTCATCCTGTATCTTTAAAAATGACCAATCCTAATATTAAAAATTAATTTAAAAATAATATTATTGAATATAAAAATTTGTATATAGCAAAAGAACTTGAACATAAAACAACTATTTCAATTTCATGACTAGTCTAATAGCTAGCTAATCTAACAATAAAATTATTGATATTTTTTTAATATTAAAATCAAGTTACCTATAACAAATAATTAATTATATAATATGCTCACTCTTTAATTATATCTTCTATTTATTTCATAGTAAAATGAGAGGATCTTACTTCCACAAAATACTACATGAGAAATATAAATAATTAACATTATATTAATTTAATTTTGAGTATCGGTTGAGATGGTTTGGGCATGTACAAAGAAGACCAAGGGAGGCACCAGTGAGAAGAGTGGAACATATAACTTTGAGCCCGATTAAGAGAGGTAGAGGAAGGCCTAAGAGAACACTTTTGGAAGTTATTGAACGCGATCTGTTAATTAATAATATTCCTAAAAATTTGATAAATGATATAGCACAATGACGTCTTGCAATTCATGTAATCGTCCCCACCTAGTGGGATAAAGGCTTGTTGTTGTTTTGTTGTTGTTGTAACTTTTTAAAAAATATTTTTTATTTTTAAATAAAGGGATGCATTTTATCACGTTGAATTTGATTATCCCATCCGTCATCCATGGATCTGACGACCTTCACGTCATTGGAAGCTTTTGGCACCGCTATGAATAATAAAAAATGTCTTATCACGTTAAATGAGATTGGCTGCAAGGTTAACGCAATATCCTCGTAGAATATCAATAATCATGTCAAGAATCATGA